AGCTAGCAACCCTGAACCGATGTTTAATACAAATCTTACAAATGATGATGGCTACTGAGGGTTTGAAGACAAGCCCAGAAGCGAACCTCCACCGCCTTTGGCTGGTTGAATAGCTACGTTGGCTTGAATGTCACGGGTGGGTGTTGACACAATCGTTGGAGGGACGCCGTAGGAGTTGTGACATGTATGTAACACTCGTTCAATAGCACATCATTAGTCTGGTTGGCACAAGCCGCTCGTAATAAACACCATTACAGGTAAGGAGTAGCTGCAGAAATTTGTGCAGATATAGAGGATGCATTTATAGAAGGTTTAACTCTAACCAAATTTTTGAATAATAGTCGACGTGCCAAGGGAGTTAGGAGTAGAGAGGGAGGAGATCCTTGTGGCATAGCAGCCGCTGGAAATACCCGAGCATGTTGCGTACCTGGTGCTGACGGCGAGAATATGCTCGATGCCTATCCCGAGGCCTGCTCGCGTGGTGATCCGAACTCATATGTACAGGGGATGGATAAAAGACGGAATGAATTCAATGCTCAATTGAGATCGCTATTTCTTATCTACATGTTCGACACTATACTGTATCAGCAGCGACTACGCCGAATAAAAGGAGGTGCTGGATCTCATTCACAACGCCTAATCCTCCACTCGATACTTCTCCACCGACAAGGAGATACAATATCGACAATCTTCATCTTTCCTATCGCTGCGCCACGAGGGTGTGTCATCTCAGGCCACCAGGCTATGTAAGTATATGCTTGTTGTCACCCAGGTATGCAAAGCGATAAGCAGGGGATCCTGCGCCGTTTGTTACATGTATGGTGACAATCGCACCGTGCACTAAGATGGGCGGAGCAAAACATGAGCAAAGTAGCAAAATGCTCACCAGGCCAGAGCCTCACCCTTTACGAAATCACTCAGGTATTTAAGAACAATTCCTGTTAAGAGCGCAGTGGGTCACCGGCGTTTGGCGGCAGGGAAACGACGTATCATATCAACTACAGGTATATGCACGATACATTTTCTCGCTGCTGGTGCCGAGCGAGAGTGGCAGATGTGTTCCATTGAACAAAGAGCAGCGCCCCGGCCATTCGGCGGGCCTACCTGGATGACTGAAGTGGGTTGCAGTGCCTGCTTACTCGAATACATAACATATTCTGCAACAGGGCCTCCAGCGATTGGTGGTGGGGATACCATTACCAGCAAAGAGGTCGATATCGTCTGTCGCCTGTAATTGACAAAAGCGCAATTGGAGTCAGCAGCGATTGGCCCGTCACAACACATCTACGTTCACCTCACCGCCATTTTCTTACCGTCTCTTCTACCACACATTCCACGCCCCAGCATGTACAGTACTAGCAGCGAATCTAAATTATAAGCTTTTGCCCAGAAGTACGCTATCTGGGCTATCTGGCCAGACTACCCGAACAAGCGCCGGTAGCTAGCACAAGCTTATCGCTCTTAGCAACCGAGCATCTACCCATACCAAACAAACAAACAAGCCCTCTCCTGCCAGCACATAGACTTGGTTGTGCCCCACACAATGGTTTGCACCCCGAATCGAAAACAAAGCCTACTCCCATTATCGTTCTTCCAACGTACTAGCTATACTCGCCGACCTTCACCGCCAGCACCTGAACTCCCTCCATCAGCACAAACGACGCCAGAGCCAGCGGAGCTACCGACGCTTGCGAGTTCGAGGGGTAAGAGAGAACAGGGGGTATATAAGAAGAAATATTTTATTCCGCTGGACATTGGCGAGACTGTTCTTGCTACTGGCGCGGAATCGGGAAGGGAGAAGCTTGGGAACTTGGGCGTGAAGGTTACCGGTGTAAGTGTCAAGAAGAAAGTGAAAAGCCCGGAAATGGGGGAGGTGATATCAGTCAAGAAGGACTTGAGGATGGAAATGGAGAGAAGAGAGTGGGAGGAGAGAGAAAAAGAAAGGAATGACAGGGGGAAGGGAGACAGACAACAGAGGGAGCGAGCGAAGAGGGAGAGGGAAGAATTGGCTGGGGGGGGAAGAAATAGAAAGAAAAGGAGGACGGCGATTGAGATTCAAGACACAGATGCGGATGACGATGATTTGATTAGTCCTGTGGACGCTAGGAGGGACTCAAATGCAACTGATTCTCGGGGAGGGGGGTTGTTCCCTAGCTTGGAGAATACGGAGGCAATGGACTTAACGGGTATGGAGGCAATGGACTTAACCGGTATGGAGGATTCGGCAGATTCAGATTATGTCGAGGAAGTCTCTGAAATTTCGTCAGATCAAGAAGAAGAGAAAGAGGATGAAGAGGATGAAGAAGATGAAGATGAAGAAATCATAGGGACACCCAAGAGGAAGAAAATTCTCCTGGATTCCTCACAATCCTCCCTTTCGCCCCTACATTCCCCATCCCTACTACCACGAACATTCAAGCCACAGAAAGGGAGACCTCCAACATACGTTCTCAAAAGAGAGCCAAGATATTCAGGAAGAAAGCATGCGAATGACTTTTATGAGTCGAGCGATTCCCGCTCCATTTCTCCCAGTGCCAGGCCCCTGACTCCCCGAGGAAGAAATCGACGAGTCTCGCCGCATATCATAGCATCAAAATCCAAGAAGCAGCGCACCAATTGCTCGAGATACACCCTTTCCCCCATCAACACGGAACTCACTTCCCCTTTTCCCTCCCGCCATAGATCAAGATCACCAGTCAATACAAGCCGCTCTCCCATCTCCCAACCGCCCTGTCTACGAATGTCACTTACAGGGAACGACGACGAGATATTTACGATCCCGCTCTCAGAAGTGCTTACTCCTGCGGAGCTAGAGACAGCGATTCAAACTCACTTCCCCCAGCCTGCGGATACTTATATTAAGCTTACAGATGATAGAGGGGATATTATCAAATTGAGTTTCTGGAAGGGAGGGGTGTGGAAGGATGGATTGAGGGTGAGAGTAGAGTACAGAGACAACACTTCTGGAGAGAGTCGGAGTAGGACTTCTTCTGGGGCTGCACTTTGGCCTCGAAGTACAACCGAGAAGTCGGTCAAGGTGGGAATGGTGGATGCTGGGGTGCAAACACAGGGGGTGGAGGTTTATGACATTGGGTGGGCAGAGAAGAGGGAAGCCAAAATAGTGGAGGAACTAACGGAGCGGTTAAAAAAGGTAGATCGGGTGATCGTGGAGAGAGCAGAGATGAAGGTAAAAGAGAAACGGAAATCTATGGAGCAAGAGCTCCGAGAAGAGAAAGAACGTCTTCATCAAAAACAAAAACAGAGAGAGAAGGAGCTCGAGGAGCAGGGGCTCGAGCTACAATTCGGCTCGCAGGCCCAAGTCAAAGAAGTCCCGCCGTTGCTTTCAGCCGGCGCGCCGCCGAAGAGTGAGGTGCCGATGCCTACACCGAATACTAGTGCACATACGTCAAGGAATTCATCGACAGATTTAGCTACACCAACTAAACTTCAATTTGCGGCGCTGTCTCTTTCACTTGCTACTGCTAGACGTGACCCCCCACCTAAACAACGACAACCTGCACAGCAACAGAAGGCTTCGCCTAAGAAGTGGAGCCCCAGTACGGATGCAGATGAAGGTAATGACTCTGGGTCAGACCTTTCACTTGATCTTAGCTGGGATAGCTCAAAGCGAGTAGCGTCAGCAGAGAAGCAAAAGTCGAAGTCAAAGCCGAAGCCGAGGGGCGAGCATCATAATACCTCGATTGCAGCTGCGGGTGGGGGTGGATCATTAGAAGTTCCATCCTGGGTCTTAAGTTCCGCAAAAAAGCAGAAAAATAGGGAGTGTAGCATAAGCTTGAACTCAACCCCGCCTAGGCTGAAAGGAAAGAGTAGTGCATCAGCTTCCAAAGCCCATCCTGCTTCCACTCAAAGCCAGGAGGAATTGTCTCTTTTTATTGGATCGCAACTGACAGATAGCTCTGCTGAGTCAAGTCCCGGAGTAGGGCCGCCTCTTGGTGATGGGCTGACCCCACCGGAAGAAGTGAGGAGACAGACTGCCAGTCCTGATCCTGCACTAGTGACGCATAGCAAGGAGCCGGCTGTTAGAAAAGGAGGCACACCGATTTGTCTAGCGAGAAGATCTGGGAAAGCCGGTCTTGCGCGGGGAGGAGGGGTTCTTGGCAGTGTTGTTGGAACTGGGCGCAGTAGTGGTACTGAAACCACTGAGGCTGGAGAAGGAGGGTCAGTACATCAAGAGTGGTACACATTAGGTGGGTGGGTTGCCCAGAGACCTGGGGAAATGGATCTATGACCGAGGGGTAGTTTCCTAAGAATATACTAGCCAGATTTGTAGAAGCATAGCGTCCTGTTTATGAGTACATGAGCTCGGAGTTCTTTTTTTTTCTTTTGCATTTTCTTTACTGGAGAACATATCTATGGAGAACATATACCGTTTTTTTTTTTTTTTTTTTTTTTTTTTTTTTTTTTTTGCAGGGGGGTGGCGCTTGAATACTGGGAGATGGTTTCTCTAGCTACATTTTGGATGTAGCAACAAACCAAGATGGTTTCGTCTGTATTGAATTACTTTTCTATTTATCTTACTCTATCAAACTGTTCCTTCCTTCTTAAGGCTCCAACAAGTATCAGAGATACGTGGCGGCGAGGCGGATGCCCTAGGTATGCAATAAGGAGTTCAACAGTTACATGTACGTGGAGACAAAGGGGATACCTGGTTCAGGGTGAAAGCATTGAGGAGAGCAGACCATGAGAGGGGGATAGTATAGTGGTACGTATGTATGCAAGGCTGGATTTGAATATTCCAGCTGGACCTGATTACGCCGGCCCCTGTTGTAGTTATCTTTAATGGTGAAACCAGGCGAGGCAAGCAAGCTAAGCTTCTAGCTACAGATACGTTACCCTCAACACACAACTTTCTATTCCCCAAAAGGAACGCCTGTTCTGCCAGGCTTATCCCAACAACTAGGAGGAATGTTTGAGCTCGTGAGACTTTGCTTTTGATAACAAAGTAGACGCAGACTCAAAAAATAAAAGAAACAGAAACACACCCCACGTGGGGCTCGAACCCACAACCTCAAGATTACTCGGGATAGAAGTCTTGCGCGCTACCATTGCGCCAGCAGGGCTGTTGAATGGTCCCCACTTCACAAGGTACTTATAGAATAGTATCTACAATTAGAAAATAACCCCAAAAGAACTATTAAAAATTTAAAAATAAATAAAATAAAATAAAAAGAAACACAAACCTTATCCTTTTTTCAACCTATATTGGTTAGAACCTTTTTTTTTCAGGTAGTTTATTACGCTTATAGACTAGCAGCCGTTTTATACAACATACAAACAACAGAGTCTCACCGTGACATGACATCAGTCAGAACAGCACCACGTGCTAGTGCTCAGGTTTTCGGATTGTGTGGCTTACACCTTCCGAATTGAGACCAAACTGCCGAGAGTATGAGAGTTGAAACTTTTCCGTGAGCTTCGGAAGGAAAAAAGGGCCAAGTACCTGGTAATACTGATCGCTGCTGCATCTTCAACTGATCTTCTCATGCGCACATACAGAGGGAGCGAGACATATCCAGAACACTGCCCGATAATACACACCATACCATAAGAAAACCTAACAACAGACCATCCGATATAAAGAGAAACACTTAACGAATCCATTCCAGCCTACTTAAAGCTTAGGATACCTACCTTTTATAAGCAGCAGGGATATAGAATAATAAACCATAAAGACCTGAATCCCGCATCCAAGCACCATCATTGTCATCAGCCATCTCTGCCACATAGCCAGTAAGCGATACCCATATGCCCAAAGATACTACGTTACCTCCATACAAGAGCCCAGCAATCGAGAGTGAATCGGAACCACGAAAGAAAAGTGAAAAAAGACAAAAAGCAAGATTTGAAGAAGGTTACGCCGTGTGATCACATGGTTTTTATATCCAAACCCCGGTCCGATAGAAAGGAGGATAAATAAAAGGAAGAACAGTATCCAAAGGAACTTGATAGATATACACACGATGTTTACGCCGGGTTGAACATGAATGAAAACAGGACAATGAGGGAAGTAATCAGAAGCTGGAAGGCAAGCATATATGCGACAAATGCAAGAGAAAACCGCACCATGAACGAAAACCAAACCGAGGGAAGATGTGGATGAACCCAAGAATTGTAACGCCCCCATGAACCGAGAGAGAAGGAGAACGTGGGTGTGAGGAATATACAAGAGGGAGTAATTGGGGACTAGTAGATGGCGCAAGCGTTAGCCCTTATACTTTTCCCATCTTACCGAAGGTCTGCTGCCAATGCACCAGTTTCCTGGTCAAAGAGTCCATCATTTCAGTGCTGTGCACGGTTGTGATGTCCATTCTTGGAATCATTGATGCTTCTTGCTTCTCAACAGTGCCATTTATGGTTATTTGAGGAACTGCAGAAGTTGATGACACGTCCGTCATGATTACTTCCTTGGTGACAGCTGTGGCAGGAGGTGAGGCTTTAGCCACTCGTGGAGAACTAGCACTAGACTTGACAATAAATGTTCTCGATCTGTCACTGGCCATCTCGAGCTGAGTTCTTTGGATGAACTCCATAATGGCATTGACCCGTTTGTTCATGTCGGTAATGCTGGCCTTGGGCTGCGGGATCCGTGGTTTCGAAGTCTTTTCCATGCCTCCATTTGGGACAATTACCTCGTCCTTAGCGTTTGCACTAGGATTTTTGTCAAGGCCGTTTTGTGAAGCGTCTCGCGTCATAGCTGGAGATCCAATTGCTTCGTGAGGATCCTCTGACTGGCGATAGGAACTGTTCCTATTATTTCCCTTCCGACGACCGTGATTGTTTGCTGTTCGACTGTTGCGTTTCAATTGTTGAGGAGTATCTGGAACAATGACTTCGGCAACGACGGGAGGATTGATTTCTTCGACAGGTGAAGTTGCACTGATGGTCTTGATATTGCGACCACTGGCTCTGATTGGGAATTCGTCTGAATGTTCCGAATCTATGTGATGATTAGCTAAAAATGTGGCATGCAAAAGGAATCCAATCGACTTACCATCCTTCTTGGAGTCTTTTGACTTTTCAACGACCTTACTTCTTGTAGATGTCCGTTTGGATAAGGTAGATGTACTTGCAGTGTCTCGGGAGGTCCCATTGCGGCCCTTCTTACACCCTAATTTAGAGTTCGTAGCCTTTTCAGGTTTTTCATCCCCCGATTCTGCTGTGACAGACGTTGGTGTGTCGGAATCAGAAGTCCTTGCCCTCTTGTATTCTTTGGCTCTGTACCAGTAGTCAGTAGAGAGTTTTTAGAAACATTTAATTAGTGGGCTATATACTCCTCTGATCCTTCACTGCTTCCACGCTTGCGTCCCCTAGTTCCACCTCGAGAGCTGGAAGCCCTTGCATCCGACTTGCTTTCTTCAAGCACACGCTGTAAGACAGCTTCGTCGTATGCTGCATCGCGGGAGTTCATCGTTGAGCGGCGCTTGGTGGAAGTCATGTCTTTATGGCTCTGAGGTGACTCAACAGGGCTTGTTTCGACGTGAAGAGGCAAGTAGAGAGAGGTCTTTGGTCTATTCAACAGTAAATGGTTGTCAGTTTGGTTGTCTTCTAGTGAAGGGCCAACGTGCTGCGAAGGCTCGAGAAGTGGACGTCCAGAGGCAAAGAAAGCCAGGACTCACCCGTGAGGTCTGACAACCAGCTTGTGAAAATTGGGTCGACATTGTTCGCAGAAGTAATTATCGGGGGCGAGAGCGTTGTCCGTGATTCCAACGCAAAATCCATGCTGCCAGACGTGGCACTTATCGCACTGGATGAACAGCCCATCCGACGTGTCGGCCTGGTCATCCTCGCCCTGGTATTCTTGGAACCCACAAATACACCTGGTAATCTCCTCGTCTTCCTGTGAGCCAGTCTCGTCCACATCATTGTCAGCTCCTTCCGTCTCATTGGCATTTGCCATTGTTGATAGATTTCGGTGACGGGTGTCAAAGACTGCATCCTCTCTGTAGGAAGTTTCATGTTCAAGAGCTTCGTCGTGATGTCTTAGACGACTAGAGCTAGCACGAGTAGAGGAAGTCGAGGAGGATGACGAGTGGTGCGCGAGCGCTGAAGCTGTAGGCCTCGCTCTAGATGAACGCCGTGGAGACATTGTTGCTAAGTTGGAGAAGAGGGGGGGCTGAATGTGTTTCCCAGTGGTGACGTGAGTCGAAGTCTTGAATGGGTGATAGTGTAGGGGCGACCGTTAGAGGGGATTTCGAGCAATGCGGTGGTAAAGCATAGGAAAGGCTTTGCTGTGAGTTGCTTGAAGAGGAGGAGTTGGAATGGGCTGCAAGATTGTCGAGAGAAGTAGGAGGAGGGAAAAAGAGGAGGACGGCAGCAGCAGGGCAGCACGGTAGAGTGCGAGGAGTGTGGGAAGGAACGGCCGAACTGAACAGAAGGGCGACCAGAATGACCGGGGGGGCACACAATATTGGCTTGGGGGGGGGGGAAGTTTCCTGTGGAGTTAAAGCAAGTGACGAGTGAGAAATAGTGTGTGGGCTGCTCTGGCTGCTGCTGCTGCTACCTGCTAACCTTACCGCAAATAGCTCCATTATTTTGCGTTTGGATGGTGGGAAAAAAATAAGTAATGGAGGCTAGGATTCGCAGGCCAACGCTAAGACTTTGATTTGGGGGGCAGTTGGGCGAGTTGGACGAGTTGGGCGGGATTCGCTGCAACTCGGCCTGCGAACGTGACGTCCCATCCGTCTACCTCTTGAATACGGGCCCATCCGCCTGTTGCTTCGCTCCTTCCTGTCACCGTCCTCCTCGCCCTCGCCCAGCCCGCCGTCCCCGCCGATTCCATCCCTACACGAAGCGAGCTCTCGCGAGAATTCCGGCCTCGAATGTGCAGCTGCAGGATCACTGGACTGGTGGGCTTGGTCACCCAGGGGTTGACCCGGCCGGCTTCCCTCGCTTCTGTTCCTGCTGCTGGACCAACTGTTGTGCAAGACCCGTCCAGCCCTTCTGTTATCATCCGTCTGCACCGTTTTCTATCGCAGCTCCACATGGAATTCAGGACCAGATTCTCCTCCAGAACAGCTTCAATGGGCTCCAGAAAATACTCGGCTAGAACCTTTTCAGCCTTCCCGACATTATACTTAAACAGGTAGCACTTGCGGAGATTGCATCCCTTTGAGCTGACTGGAATAAGCGGAATGGCATTCGATGGAGACTCTTCAAAGCCTGACTATGGCGCACGTCACTCTAAATCCCTTGTCGAGCCAGTGTGCAAAGGGATTGTTTTTCGCACTTTGTTTGCCTGTCGTGGGGTCGGGCATTCGTACAGCAATTAGCACACCGACACCCTTCTGAACCGCGGGGCTCATAGATACACCTGCGGGGGAGACGAGGAAGCGAAGGCGGGGGTTTTGCGAGGAGTTCCTGAGTGTGTGTATCTCGAAATTTAGGGGCAAGGAATGCAGGTGTAAGAGTGGTTGTGCTCGCTTTTCAGATATCCAGAGCTGTAGCAATAGCCCAGTGTCAACTAAGTACAGTGTTTGTCGCTTTTGCGCACCGCTCCGCCTACTCTCATACCACTATCTCACACCAAGCTACTTTACGCCTCCCTGTGTTAGTAGGTATAGAAAGTAGAGCTGGCGTGGATGGAGATTCTATGGAGCACCGTTTTGGGAGGGTTTTCCTCAGGCCAGTTAGGATCGGCCCTTGCTGTGATCACTGTCACTCCGCAGGTTGCTTCATGTATCCACAACCCCTCCCCAGAAGTCGGTGCTAGTGCTTCGGCTCATTAAATCCCCTGACCTATAGTCTGAAGGCAGGCCAGTGACGAGTGCAGAGCTGCTGCGGATGATTTCTTGAGGCAAGTAAGCAGGACCCTGTGCAACGCCCTGAATCTGGACCTATTTCCCGCCACTTGGTAACGGAGATGCCAATTGCAATATAGTTAGTAGTCCGGTTGCACGGGAATTAGGCACCACTCACCTGGGCACAGAAGACCCCATTGATACAAGAACAATCCATTGCATTGCGTGTGTTGATTATATATTTATGAAACAGTGGTGCTTGTCCGATACTGGTGTTATGTTGTCGACACAGAGCTCAAACAGTGGACATATGTAGCACTACA